AAATGATTATAACTAGATCCACAATGGAATCTGAGTTTGTAGCTCTAGATAAGTTTGGAGAAAAAGTAGAATGAATTCAATATTTTCTTGAGGATATACCTGAATGGTCAAAACATGTGTCCATAGTATGCATCTACTGTGATAACCAAACAACAATTGCTAGAGCACAAAATTTCATATATAACGGTAAATCGAGATATATGCGTCATAGACACAATATTGTTAGACAACTGATCTCAAATAGAGTTATCTCTATTGATTTCATAAGATTAAAGGATAACATCATTCACTAACCAAAGGGTTAAATAGAAATCAAGTTAAGAAAACATGTAAAGGAACGAGACTAAAGCCCATGGAAATTCAAGGTGTTATGTGAAGGAAAATCCTACCTTGTTGACAGGAGATCCCTAGATCTAGGTTCAAAGGAACAACCTAATTGCATAAACCATATGTGATCATTATGGGGGGTTTATCCCAAAACCCTTCCTATGATGTAAATAGTGATCATATTGGTATAGGATAAGCAAGGCTTTTAATGACCATTGTGTGTTTCGATGAGTCGAGCAACATAAGTCACTTACGTGAGAGTGAAGTAGGGCCATTTTAAGGAGACTATATGGAATAGTTCTTTCAAACTCTTATAGAATTAGACGATGTTCACTGATATAAGAACATACCCATGAGAACTAATATACTTGTCAGAAAGACAGTTGTGTTAAATATATCATCATTTACAAAAACGGTAGAACAGTTCAAAGACATCACGTCAACTGATTAGCCAGCAAAGTAAATATACTATTATAAGGGAAGGTTCAAAGGAGGATACCTACTTATACTATGCAACTATCATTCGTAAGGTCTATCACCACATCGAGTCAAAATATCTTGATGAAATCATCAATTTCATTCATGTTGGGGATTATTGAGAAAAATGTAACAAATTGAGAACTTTGAGGCATATTTTCTAAGTGTAAAGATGGAGAATCAAATAATGAATTTACTGATTATATTCTACTCTATGATATCTTTACAACGATATCTCATATACTCAAAGTGGTTGAGTGATGAATGAGAAATTGATGTTCAAAGTAGGATACATGTGAATTGTGTTGTGTAAGGAAAATGAGGAAACCTATATCCTACATTGGTGGGATATCAAGCAAGGAAATGGTTTATATACACAAACCAACTTGCTAGTTATTGAATGACTTGGGTTGAAACTGTGCAGGGGGTATAAATCGAAGGGGTATAAATCGAAGCCCGCCAAACCTCTCAGGGTTAGGGGCGCACCCGTATGACGTGGGTTATGCAAATGTCCGGACTGGTCGGGCTCTCCAGGGGCCTGTAGATATTTTACCCACTACGAATTAAATATTTTACTTAAATGCGACATATCTTTTTGAATATTCTGAATTAAAAATGATATTATATGATTTTCTTTTAATTCAAATGTTAATATGATATGACTTACAGTTCACGAATATATTCTAATTAAAGTGGTAGTAATTTATTATTTTTGGTTTTATTTGGATACTAATTAGTAGCTATACTTTTCAGAATATATTTTTCCTAATTCTTCTTCTATATGAAACACTATAAATACCGTGTAAACCTATTATGTTTTATACAACCAAAAAAAATCTCTTTTATTTTTCTCTGTTCAATCGGTGATAAACTCTAACATGAAATAATTTGTAATCTCACAAGTAATGCTACCGTGTGCTGATTATATCATTGTTGTATTTGTTCTAAATAATTTCAACCATTTGACAATGAACGTTCAACCACCCTACTGCTGTCGCTTGTGCTTGAACCTATAACCTCTAGGAACAACAACGATTCCTCTAATCACTAAGGTAAGTTGGTTCGTGTTGTAACATGATTTTCTATTTTAATACAATTTTATAACAAAAATAATAATTTATTTATAACATGAATTTATTCTTCTTCTTTTCTACAACATTGATATATATATATATATATATATAATATGTTAGGGTTTTTATATAACAATTCACGTATAACTATATTGATAATTAATTTTTTATAAACTATATCACTTGTCCAAAGTTTGATTATTATATCATTCAGAGTTATATTTTCTTTTAAAACCATACAATATAATTCAGTAAATATTTTATTAAAATTAAATCAAATCGAACCAAATACACTCTTATCAAACATACATTTCAATTGTATAGGGATGTATAATGAAATTAACCCAATAAAGAAATACTTATTGGGATAGCAATGTCTATAGTGAAGCCCAGGCTCATCGGCCTAAATCCAACAAATAAAATAAATAAAGGCCCCAATTGAGCATCGGCTGTTGAAGAACGACGTTGTGGAACCCGATGCAATGTTTAGTTTGGATGGGTTTTTTTTGCAGCGTGCTAATTTGTGCTTTGCATCTGCGAAATTCTTTGCTTGCCGGGTAATTTTCCCTGATTAAAAGATAACTATTGCAGTGGAATGTGACTTAAATTCTTTAATATACTGCTAGATCACACAAAGCTCATAGCTTGTGGGTTTACTTGACATAGTTAGCTGAAACAAGTTGATCAGACCAAATTACATCAGCTGTAGTTTTGCTTGCATGAATCATTACCGTGTCTGGTCAATGAATTGTGTCACCGCCTTCCAGTTTGATAGCTTAAACCTTTTATGAGCAGTTAGTTTTCGATTTCCCTTTAGTATATAATGTTTAAAGTCATGAAGATTATTTTGTGTGAATCCTGAGTCATTTCCACAATTCAAATTGTTTTCAAGCTTTCTCATCACGTCGCGAATACTATATTTACAGGGATTGAAGTCGGATTTATTATCTTCTGCAGATCTCTCTAATATCTATATAGCATTCCTTATTTGCTGCATGATGCTGCCAAACTGTAAAAAAAAACTTTTTTGTTTGATCAGATTACTTCTCTCTCTTAGTATTTAACCATGTCTTCACTTGTCTTTGATTATGGTATATGTGAATTCATATGTGATACAAGCTAATCGTATTATTCAATTGATCTGTAGAATACTTTTTACTCTCATCTCTTTTAATCCCTTTTCAGAATTGATATCATTATTTACCATTAATGTAAAGTATTCTGATGATGTATCTTTTTGGTTTAATATCAGCTCTCCTCATTGATTCGCCTGAAGAATGAGTTGCAAGTTCGGCCATCGATGTGTCTGAGACAGGAAGGATTCTAATCCATTCTTTGTAATTTTTCAGTAATGTCTGAGACATTAGAACAGGTTTCAGGCTTTGAGATGATGTTGAACGTGCACTTTGGGAATTGATTAACATTGATCCTTCATGGGTTATCTGCATCTCAAGTATTTTAATGGAGCAAAAATGGGTTGGGAGGGTAGCCCTCGCCTCTTCAGTATCCGATCTGGATTAGTCGGTCAATAGATCGGATACCAATGATTAATTCAAAAAATATATTGCATTTGCTATTTGTGTCACAATATCATTAACTTCTTCCCCAAATGACATGCTATAGGATGTGCAGTATTTCTGTTTATAAGGACTTTTTCCTTTCTTTTTGATATGGGATTAATTTCCTTCCGATATGAACGAATGGCAGATATTAGTATGTTGTTCATCAATTCTTGGAAATAATAAAGCCAATTTTCATAGCGGTAATAGAAGAATTTGCTTTGGGTTAACTGCGTGATTGAACACTTATGTTTATGTTTTATCTACTTTTCTTTACTGATTTCAAAAATCATAATGTATGGTTACTTTAGTTTTTTATTTAACTAAGATGTGGTCACCATCAGTTAACCGTCGTTAAGTATTTTAAGAACATAATATATGATCACTTTTGTTTTTATTTAATTAAGATGTAATCACCATTAGATAATTGTCGTTAAATATGTTGATATAGTTATACATTTGGTTTATATTATTTATATATTTTCTTAATTTAGTTCTACTTCTAATAAATTAAAATAAATTTAATCCTTCAATCGAATGATGACACGTGTCGTTGGTACCATGTGTCGTGTCACGTGTTACCATTCGATTGGAGGACTAACTTTTCAAAGTATAGGTGAAAAATAAATATATTAAATTAAAATAAAATTAATCCTCTAACCGAATGATGATACGTTGTAACACGTAAAGGATGTTGGTGTTGGAGAGAGGGAGGGCGGACGGTGGAAGAAGAGAGGGGAGGAACATTTTTTATATATTATATAATTTTAATTTTTAATTAATTTCCATTTCTTCATAAAAAAATAAATTAAAATTAAATTGTGATGTGATGTGTTTTGATTGGTTTGTAAATTTTTTTTAATAGATTCAGTGATTTGAGATAAACGGGATAACGATTTATAATTAATGAGGCAAAACGTTCTAAAAAAATACTTTAAAGGATAATTCGATACAAATGGTATAATTTTCAATGATGTATTTAAGCCTTTCAAAAATGAGCAAATTTGGGACAAATATTCATGAATTTAGTGTTGTCTATAAATTTTCTATAATTTTGATTTAACACAATAATATAGTCCTTAATATATACATATTATGTCAATTTAATTTAACGAATGTAACATGTATTCCTTTATTTAATAGATATTGAAGGTTAATTTTTTAAATTGAAATCAGATTAACATAATATATTAATATTGATACTAAATTTGCTATTATTTCAACCAAAATTATATAGAATTGATAAAAAAAAACGTTAATTTCAGGATTAATTTTCTTAATTGTTCATTTTCAAAATTAATCGTTCCTCTTTTTTGTTAGGGACTACTTTATCTAATTTTTACTCGAGAGACCTAAGAAATCCTTTTACCCAAAAGAAAAAAAAAATATATATATATATATATATAAGGTATTTTTTTTATCCGGAGAAGCTCAATTATCCCTAGGGATGGGCATAGGACTCGAACCCAAAGACTTCTTTTAAAAAAAATTGAAGGTTTCTTTCTGAGAAAGTAAAAAGATTTTCACGATCATGTAAAATATTTAATATATTAAACTACACTGGTATTTTTAAAATCTGATAGGCAATTGCACTTCCTAGCTTGGAGCAGAGCACTAAGCATACACATTGCACCTGAAATTCAAATAAGCTAAGCATAGAGATATATATTGCTGTGTCTCTCTCTCTCAATATATAGCTTATACATTTGCAGATGTGTAAGCCTTACCCCCTTCACTAAGCAACAGGTTTTTCATCACTTTGTAACCCCGAAGTTCCTCTAATGCATCAGCAGCTGTCTTTGATGCAACAAGCCTCGAAGATGCACTGCTCAAAGCAGCAGCATGTTCAACAGTCGCAGCTTCTGAGATCTGACTCTGCTTTTGGATGCTGTTGCTCCACATTTCTGGCCTTGAGGCTTCTGAAAAATTAAGGGAGATGTCCTGGCAGAGAGGAGGGGCTTTTTTCAGCATACGGACAAGAGCACCAACTGCAGCATCTTGGGATTTTCTATTCACGAACAACCCAGCTTCATTTATATCGGATGGATGCTCTCTTTTATCGTAAGACTCAACTCTAGAGAATATGCAAAAAGAACAATTCAGTTCACACAATAATTCAGAAAATTTTGAAGCAGTAGCAGAGGTAAAACAAGGTCTAGCCGTTACTAGTGAAATTTATCTGTGTCAATTCAGTTAACTGATCAAATGGATTTTCTCAAGGGGTAATTCCAAACCAACAATTGCAGAAAAGAAAATGCCCCACACTCAAACTACCTTTAAAACATTCAGACTTCTCCACCGGAGTTAATTTAGAGATTAAATAAATATAAATGAAAAGGAAAGTATATATCGTTTTGGAAATAGCCACATCCTTCAGTCAATAACGGGTGTTTCTTAATCACCGATCCCATTCTTTTTACTCAACTTAATCATCTAAGTTTAAATTAATTCAATTATTCACCAACAAACAATGAGAATAAGGAAGTTAATAAACATCTTAAAGTTAATAGGCCAGGCTGCCTTTCTGAAAACTAGAATGCAAACTATACATGGTAACTGTACATAGATGATAAACAGAAACCTTTACCGATTCCTGAACCAGATATTCCACTATGGTTACTACCCGGAATAAATATTGAAATCTAGAATAACCACCTAGTTTTTTTTTTCCTCAAAACAAGAAAGAACACTTTTTAAGGTAGTTCTCTGTAGATGACAAATAGATACTTATGCTAATTCCAGTAAAATATACTCCACTATGACTACAAACGGGAATTATCCACAAATGACGCAGAAGGGTTCAGAGAAGTATTAAACAAACATAACATGAATTTTGTGGATTACCTGCTACCAGGATTCGTCATTTCATCATCCTCCACATCAAATGGGCAAGGAAACTCAGAGTCATCAAAATCATCTTGAAAAGACCTACTGGAACTTCTAGAACATGAAATTCGTGGTGAACCGCAGGAAGATATCTTCACTCCAGAATATTTTCGACGGTCTTCTTTCTCAAAAGAGAACAGCTACAAGAGACAAAAGAGAAATAAATTCCAAGTTGAGAAACAAGATACACTAGAAATAACCACATATGGCGATGTGCATATGAAATACCTTCTCAATTGTTGCACCAGTTTTAGCAGGTACCCTAAAATTATCGGTCCTAGAAGTACCAGTTCTTGTAATTTTAAGGGGAGGTGATGGTGGCAACTTGTGCTTGTCAGACAATGCAGGGGAATTAGCAACCTTAGGACCCGGTATGTCAACAGGAGCACTTTCAGGGCGTAAAAGAGCTTCTGATAAATGAGATCTGGGTATGTGGATGGGGAGTGATGGTGATGGGGAAGGGGAAGCAGAGAAATTGGGGGAAGGACAATACTCATCTAAGTTCATAACCAAAGCGTGTGACTCCGAATGTGTTGGTGATGGTGAGAAAGAAACCAAAGGTGGTGAAGCCTTGTAATGGTCATAACTCCAACCATGCCTTCTTGAAAATGGTAAAGATGATGGAGAGCCATGTGAAATAGGAAGTGATGGAAATCTCCTCAATGGGTCTGCCAATGGGCTTCCAACATAATTTGGTATAAATTGAGGGGACATAGGGGTTGACGATTCTGAGCTTGTATCTGAGATTGATGAATAGTACAAAACAGAAACACAAAGCCTACCGCAAGATGTGTCCACAGGGGTAAACCAAAATCGCTGCATATCAACCTCTTCTTTACGAGTCAAGGGTTCAACAAAAGAGTATACCCTAGGAACAAGCTTAAAGGCACAGATTTGACCAGATGAATTGAGATCACGAAAAATGTTGTAAGCAGGTAAAAGCCTCACAGTCACATATAAGGACCTCCACAACAATATCAATTTCTTATATAATGCACTCAAACTATAACAACTTGACCTTCTATTCCCTAAATTACAATCCCGACCCTTTCTACTTTCGTGCAGCACCAACCATCTTTCTATAATCTTTTCACTTTTTATCTCCCTGCCTGATTCTTCTTGATCAGAATTCCAGAAAAGCGAATTCTTATCTTTAGAAGACAAATTCCCAAAAAGATCCCTCTTGGGAGAAAAACTTGCAGGTCCCCAATCAAGAGGCTTCTGCTCCAATATAACATCAACAACTACAGACTCAAAATTACTCTGCCGACAAAGGTCAAGATTTTCTAGCGCTGAAGGGCACTCCCTAAGAGCTAAATTGAACCATTTATCTCTTGGTCTCACACTAGATGAAGAGGATGAGGATGAAGATGGAGACGACACAGTTTGTTCCCCGCTATAATTACGCGATGACACAAAAGGAGACCTCGATTCAAGAATTATAAAAAGACTCTCATAGAAGAATTCAGTGATAACTTGTTCCATTTTGGCTGCTTCTGTGTGAGAACTCGTATGAGTTGATGCCATAACGTTTAAATTTGCTATAAGTGGAACAATCAAACCCTTTAAAGAGAAATTGAGATTTATAAACTGGAAATACCTCGGGAGACAATCTCACTGCAGATACAATTAGAAAAGCCATAAGGAACAATAATAATAAAAAAAGCTCATACATCGATATAAACCCAGTAGGAAATAACTCAAAAGGCACTAAATTAACCAGTGAAAATAGCGGACGAAAGAAGAAAAAGTGGTACAAGCAGCAGCCATACACATATTTTATCAAATAAAAGCTATTAGGAATACTCAATTAAAAAGCAAGCAAACAAACAAACATCTTAGACTTCTGTTTTCTTACGTTCTTTATAAAATCAAATTGTCCCTGCTTGTGTAACGAACACGTTTGATCACACCGGCCGTTTTTCTTTATCTTTCCACTAATTTTTGTGTTTTGGGTTTTCCTCCTCATCATCCATCTCAGTTTCCCCAGAAATTTAGTAAAAAAAATTGAACAACTTTGAAAGCAAATTGAAGAAAGCAAAAAAAAAAACCAAACTAAGAAAAAAAATAGGGCAAAGGAAGCAGAGAGAGAAGCTGAGTCACCTGTTTCTTAATGGAGTGAGTTTAATGAACCATGATTTTTTGCTTTGTTCTCAGTTGAACAGGCTCATCTACTCCTTGTTTGGTGAAACTGGCACCACTTTTGGATTCGTTAAATATATAAGACTATTTAGGGAAAGGGAAGAAAGAAGACGCGAAACAATTTATGGTGTAGTCAGAAGTTGGAAGCGAAGAAGTTATGGAATATGGATCATGGATGGGGCCGGCACTCTTGATCTTGCCACGTCATTACTTTCCTTTGCTGATTTTATTTATGCGTATGAGCCCAACTTATTGGGCATCTGAGCCCTCACTGGTGAGTAAAATTGGCCCAACAGGCCATGCGGGTAAAAAAATTAATCATCTCTAAAGTTAATTTGAGATTTACGATAAATGTTACAACACAAAATAAACTCTTCACGTTCACATGATTAATTTGTTCGAATAATATTTTTATTTAAATTCATCATATTGAAGTGTCGAGTTCAAAAAAAAATATTTTCTGAATTTTGACACTTCAAAATAATAAATTCTAATAAAAAAATATATTTTATTGAAACACATCATATCCATTTAATAAGTTCTAAATTACTATAAAAATATCGTAGTTCTTAAAATAAAATATTTGATACCATATTAGATTAAATAATTAATTCATCTACATTATTGGACCAAAATTACCTTCACCAATAGCAGACTCAACAGCGTACCCAACCACTTGCCCAAATATGTCGTTTAAAACACCTTCGCCTTGCTTTGGTAGTTCCACATTTGTAAAGAAACAAACAATTTGATTTATCACTATTAATCTATTAGGTTCACAATCGTAATAAACACAATGTATAATCGTAATTTAAATCATTTACCCATATATTTTTTCTCATTCATTATCGTTGTTTTTAGTTCCATTGCATGAAATTGTTGCTATATATAAATATAACGTTAACAAAAAAAAAACAGAAACAAAATGTAACGTTAAGTATGATTTTGAAACAAAATAATAGTTGGATGATGAAAACATAAATAAAATAATAGATTAATGACTAAATAGATAATTTATCATCTTTTAATTATATGTAAATTTATAATTTTGAGCTCGAGTAAGAGAGGGCTTCGGGCAAGTGCCTCTTTTGTCCATGCTTAGAGACAGGCCTATATGCAAGGTTGATTTACATATTTTCTCTTAAATAAAGCACTACAACAAAGGACATATGTAAAATTGTTATATTATGAGGATAAATTTATAAAATTTTAGAGAACAAAAACAAATAAACAATACAAAAACAAAATATCTGTACAATCTTATTAATAAAATTAAAATTACTCATGAAAAAACTTGAATTCAGATAATAATTAGTGTTTGTTTGCAGAAAATATTTCCAGATAACGGTGCTTGTTTGCAGATTTCCTCCGCCAAGAAGAAATGTATTCAAAGATCTCACGAATAATTCTGCTCTACTTGCAGCCACAAGTGAAAAACTTGTTTATAGGAAAGCTGGAAACACTTGAGAGATGAGGACCTGATTTTGACACCAAAATAATTACACTAAAACAACATATGGATTCTCGAAAGCAACCCCAGATCTTACATGCCATCGAGTTGTCTGTCGACATCTGATTAGCCACCCAAATATTATATTATAAAGTGTAAATTTTGTGTATTAGTTTGATGGTCAATATGAACTTAGCCACTAGGAAAAAGCAACTTACCCTTTGTGATACAGGCTTATATCTACCAGCTTAGAAGTTGCTCGAAATAACTATGTAAATTGTAATCATACCTGCAAATTGTGGATTTGAGTCATTTGACTGTTGTTTCAGGCAGCTGATTTGCTCGCTGGGAATCGACTCCACTACTGTCCCTGTTCCTCGTTACATCATTAAAGATTCAGTTCGATCTCGGACAAGTTCTAATGTCGCAAAAGAAAAGACCATCCGTTAATGTCCTTTCCAGAACGACTGGTTATTGACTGAGCTTTCGTTGATGGGGGAAAATGGATGAAAAGTTGTCACTTTTCCAAAATAGAAAAAGAACCCACCTTTTTATTTAACTTTTCCATGTGTATATAATGTTTCAATGGAACCAACTCCTGGGACAACAACTACCCAATTTTCCCAACACTTGATTGAATCCTTTAATCCGAGAAAATTTCTGCAACATTCGTCTCTTTATTCGACCGAATCCCCGGTGATCTCCCCGGCTCTAGCTAACGATCATGGCCTCATCAACAGCAAATTCGATGCGAATGTAATTTTCGTTCTCTCGGTCCTTATGTTCAGTGTGTACACGTCTTTGGGGTTGTTTTTCATCGTGAAGTGTGCGACTCGGTGCTCGATTTCTGTTACCGCGATGGAAAACGCTTCGGCCAAGTTGGCGACAGCAGGAGTTGAGAAGAACGCTTTAAAAGCGTTCCCGACGGTGAAATATACATCGGAGTTGAAACTGCCGGGCTTGGACTTGGCTTGTGTTATATGCTTGTCCGAGTTTGTTGCCGGGGAACATGTGCGGATTTTGCCCCAGTGCAACCATGGATATCATGTTCGATGCATCGATAAATGGCTTAGTTGGCATTCTTCGTGTCCTACGTGCAGGCGTTGCCTGACTGCAATGGACCAAAACACTGTTGTTGAGTGCAGAAGGACAGAGTCGTTGGTCCAGTCTGGCCCGGTGCAAGAAAGTGTATAGCAGCAAAGAGGTAGAAAATTGGGAATCTTTCAAGCCATAATTAGAGGGTTTTGAACTAGGCAAAGCTTGAGTGTAATTGTTCTCAGACGAGGATATGTAAACAATCAAATTTCTGTGTGTTGTCTGGAGACTGAAATTCAATACCAATTTTTACAAATTCAACTCACTTGAAAACCACTGAAAGTTCTCAAATTCATCAAAAACAAGTCTTGAGAAAGTAATCAGAATTTTCCTTTTTCTGTACAACTGGTTTGAAACATGAAATTGGCTGAAGTTACAACTTACAACCTAAGTTCTTCCCTGGATCATGGGGAACTTTCTACTTTCAGAATCCTCTCAAACTTTTAATGATAATTATTGATAATCATTTACTCTAATTCTTGTACTAAAATGTAATCATACATGAATAATACTACTCCAACCATTAGAGTTAAAAGTAAACTAATAATAGCAGCAGTATCATAAGATAGATTGAGACCAACCTTTGATTATACCAATTTGGAAATTTAAAAACACCTCGCGTTCCTCAAACATCTCTCCCATAATTCTGCTCTACTAGCGAACCTTTTCTGTGCAGGGAAAGCTGGAATACTTGTGATTTTGACAGCAAAACAAATAACACTAAGCAGCATACATTTTTTAAAGGAACTCGAATCTTACCAAACTTTTCAGTGAGTTGGCAAAAGTAGGAGTTGAAATATGCGGTAAAAGCCTTCCCCACTGTTAAATACGCACCAGAGTTGAAACTGCCGGACTTAGACTTGGCTTGTGTTATATGCTTGTCCGAGTTTGCTGCCGGGGAACATGTGCGGTACCCAATGCATCGATAAATAGCTTAGTTCGCATTCTTTGGTGTCCTACGTGCAGGCACTGCGTGACTGAAAGAAACCAAGACTGTTGTTAACTGCAGCAGCGCAGAGGCATTGGAACAGTCTGTTCCAATGCAGGAAAGTGTATAGCAGCAAGGAAGTAGAAAATTGTGAATGGTTGAAGGCATAATCAGATGGATTAAGTAGGCAATCTATAATATAACTGAAATGCTCTTAGACAGGGTATTTGAACAATATAAATTCCTTGTCTGTTCATACCAATGTCACAACATGTTACCAAATCCAAAGCATAGAGGGAATGGAGTGTTTTCTATACATGCATGGGCCATTGAAGGAAAGACATTCTCCTGCACATGGGCCTTCTTTTTCTTTCACTATTTGCATCCCATCGACTTTGGGTCCACAACTGAACTCACCACAGGAGAAAGTCATGTAAATCCATAATTCCCGGACAACACTCTTTATCAAGTCAAATGACAAAACTAAAAAATTTCAGTCAGTGGTCCCCTCCCCTAAATACAAATTCTGGAAACCCACAATTTCTTTGATTTTAGATAAGGAAATCGAGTGTGTATTGCAATATAAAGTTGAATGGAAGAGCAATTTGAAACGTGTTCCATTGTTGGTCCATCAATTTTGTAAAGGTGAATGTTGTATTTGTAGCCGTAGGACATGTTTGGTCCAAATGCCACCCCTGTCAATATCGGCACAATATGGCCACTAATAGCTTTTGGTCTCTCTTGCTTGCTACACAACCCCATTCATCTCTTTGTTCTCTTCTTTGGACATGTAAGAATTCCAATCAACCTCTATATTTATCCCGGGAAATAAAAGACTCCCCCCATTCAAATTTATAATATTTTTTGACCACACATCACATATCATGTTATTTCGAATTGTATTAAGATATACATACATATTTTGAACTCGAAATTAGAGTATGATTAGAAAAAATATCATATAATTGTGACATGTTTAGATAATCATTGCAATTTACGAGTTTCATTGAATTGAGTGTAATCCGAGTTCCTTATTTACACTATTCAATTCTTGGATAGTAAGAATCGGTATAATTATCACTCCTAATTATACATGTTTTAATTTTATAATTAATATTATTTTAAAATTTAAATCTATATAATTGAATAATTATAATTTATATTAGTACTAAAACATAATATGGATAATTATAATATAATTACATTTCATCAATAAACTTATCTAGAGAATTAAAAAATTTATAATAATTTTATATTTTTGTAATATTTAAATAAAATAATTAAAAAAATTATTTAAGAATCAAATTCATTATCGACGGTCCAAGAATCGTCATTAATCTTTTTTTCACTTCATTTTTTTCTTCCCCAAACTTTTTTTTATTTTTTTATTTTCTACCTTTCTTTTGTTTAATTCATTGTTTTCTTTCTTTTCTCACATTTATCTATCGTCAAAGTCGAAAGATGATTCAACCACCAAATAATTTCATCTTATATATCCATTTTATAAATCTATGCTTTATTTTGTAAATTATTTTTGTTTAATAATTATGTCTTTCTATCTTATCTCGTTTAAAATTTGTCTTGTCTCATACAATTTTTTCGTCTTATTTTTATAAGTTTATTTATTTATTTAGAATTGATTTTATTTCCATTCGTCGAATTGATAGATGTTTAGTTATTTTTTTATATATGTTTTTGTTGGATATGATAAAATATAAAATGAAATATTTATGATTATATTATTAAAAAACAAATTATTAGGGATCATATTAAAAAACTAACTAGGTGATGGAGCTTCCAACAAGCTGACTTTAATAATACTCCAACAATGCGGCTTCTTATTCTTATTCTTAATAGCTAAGCTAAGCAAAGTTTACTAACTTGAGGCATGTAAATCAAATACATATGCCATGGTAGAATATTTATACCATGTAATAATTATTATTTCTTTGCTTTCAATCTACTTTTTCACCTATTCTATGCTCACAACGTACGCCTTGTTACGCTAAGATATGAATAGTTAAAAATCCTTGCAAGTTGTTAATAGTTGAAGTAAATCACTGGCTTCATTATCCTTTTAAAATACATAAAAGTACAAGTTTAAACTAAAATCATTTGAACATATTATGTTCTTTGATGATTATGCTTTTAAAGTCGTAAATTATACGTGCATAATATTTTTATTTTGAAGGAAGCATAGTTGTCGATTAATACCATCGATTTCCATTTCAATATTTGGGTGTACAAATTTTGAAGGATCATGTTAACTTCGGTGGGCAACATCCATTTTCGAGCATTATACCGATCATAATTTTATCTGCTATTTAGGCAACATTGACTTCTTACTTTCAATTTTATTAGTCTAATCAATATTAACATCTTGATTTTGCACTAGTACTTCCATATTAACAACAACAATATATCAGTTAACTTGGTTCTCCTCAATTCATGCTTAGCATATTGAATACCTCCAATAGCATGATTCCCAAAGAGAACGTGACTTTTCCACCCAAAGCGTACCACGAGCCAAATACGTTTGGGAAAGAGAATCAACTGAATAAAAGCAACTAACAAAAACTTGTAACTGCTTATCATATGGATCACGCGACAAGAATGCATGGTCTTCTTACCCAAAGCATGCTGAGTCTGAGGCTTTATCTATTGACTAGGTACCTGGGCATTCTTTTCTGGCTCAAGCTTTACTTTACTTGACTTCACAACTAGAGACGGACACAAGATTTTATGTTAGAAGACACTTAAAAGACATTTACTCTCACCTAGGTTCATCCCTGGCCGTAACTGCTCTCCCTTATCGTGGAGATTAAAACATCCAGCCAAGGAAGAGAGAGTGACATTAGGAATATGTATAGATTCTAAAATATAACTTGTTAATGTAACATTAAAAAACAACATAAATCAATTGTAACCTAAAATATTATCAAGAGTCGTAGTTTTTTAGATTGGACAGAGTAACATTTTATGTTAGACCGAAAATTTTATAAATTTACATAATCTTTTCGGTTATAAACCTTAAAATCAACGTAATTTAATATTTCGATTACAATAACAAATATTATAAATTTGTAAGCCGAAGAAATGAGGGTTGAACGCATTCTGGAAGAATCGTAAGTTTGAGGCATGAAATCCAGCCCTCTCTTGCCTTGAAAACAAGCTTTGTTTGGAAGAAAACTTAAACATCACATTTGTATGAGATATTGAGATCACAACACAAAAGAACATTATTTACGGTCAACCCAATTTATCTCATCCTCAAGAGTAGACATATTTGTCAATGGTCAACATCATATGTGAGATGATCAAATAGAAGAGTTAATAATTGGATTTAAATTCTTAAGTTTAAAAAACAAAAGGACTAAATTTCAAATACAAAAAGTATAATGACTTAGAAATAGGTTAACCTTTATTAACATAGTTTAACATTTTTATTTTTATTTAACTAAAATAAATTTAAAAAATGGATTGAATTCATTAAAATTTAAAATTGAGTAAATTTGTTACAAATCTCACGTTATTAAAATTACTTTGTATTATTAAATTCTGGTAATTATTAAAAGAGAAAATCGCCTCAGTGACCAAAAATGCCTTATAATATACGATTTTAACCAACTTTTTTTGGATTTGCCAAAATGACCAACAAAATCGCAACGCGAAATAAAAATCGCAACGCGATCCCCAGAATCGCAAATCAGTTTCCAAAATCGCAACGCGATTCTTGAAAATCGCAATGCGATAGTACAAATTCGCATTGCGATTTTCCAGAATCGCAACGCGAATATGAAAATCGCAACGCGAACACATAAATCGCAACGCGTATCCGTAAATCGCAACGTGTATCCGTAAATCGCAACGCGTATCCGTAAATCGCAATGCGTATCCGTATATCGCAATGCGTATCCGTAAATCGCAACGATAATCCGTAAATCGCAACGAGAATCTGTAAATCGCAACGATAATCCGTAAATCGCAACGAGAATCTGTAAATCACAACACTGAAATTTTGGGTATATAACTACGAAACAGCAGCAAATCATAAACTAAATCCCTAAATCGCAACTCATTCCATCTCCATCTATCACTCTCTCCGGCGACATCCGTTCCTATATCCAACGACATCCTTCCCAATCCGGCAACAGGTTTTAGTTTCGCAGCTCGTCTGTTTAGTAAATTAATTTACAACCATGAAATCATCTAATGTTGATCATGTTTGGATAGATTTGTGTTTTGGAGGGTCATGGGATAATGTTCATGGTGTTTTACAATATATGCCTTTACCCATGAATCTTCAACTAAAATTGTCTTTACAAAAGTTAACTTATGAAACTCTAATGCTACGTGTTTCAAATAAATTGAATTTAGAGCCCCTAAGTGGATTTAGGCTATCTTATCAGAGAAATGGTAAAGTTTATTTGTTAACCGACAATGAAGATGTTGAACGATTCATTGCTTACATTAGTGTTTCACAAGATGATGTTACATTGTATGTTGTTGAACCTAGAAGTAGTATTGTTGGGTCAATAGCGGGTAGTAATCAACTAAGTTTTTCTCAAAACCCACAACCTTTCTCTAATCCAAATCCCAATCAACTTTCAGCACCAAATTCCGGTTTTCGTATTGACCAGTTAGACGATGATGAGCCAACAGAAAAAATTGTGAGTACTAGTCAGTATTCGAAATTTGGTCTTGGTCAATATCCGGACTTTGATATTGGTCAATACACGGATTTTGATGATGTTTCAGAAGAAGAAACAGACCCTGCGTGTAATGATTTTGATATTGGTCAATACCCGAATTTTGATGATGAAACAGCCGTTGCCGAAGAATGTATTGTTGATGATAATGAGGAGGAAGTTACGACTGTGAATGAACATCCATTCTGTAATTCATATATTCCTGAAGAAGAAAAAGAAGAAGAAAAAATCCCCGAAGAAAAGAAAATGCCACGGGCGTATAACTGGAATATGCCAGAATTACTTCAGATACCGGAAGAAGAGTTGGTAAAGAAAGTAGTTGATTGTTACACAAAAGTTATTCGTATCAAGAAAGATGATTGTTTTGATACAAAGGAAGACTTGAAGATAGCTTTGTATACGAAATGTGTGGAAGATGGCTATCAACTAAAAGTTAACAAATCAAGCAAAGAT